GTTAGATCTTTAATCCATTTTGAGTTTACTTTTGTATATGGTGTCAGAAAGTGTTCTAGTTTCATTTTTTTACAAGTGGTTGACCAGTTTTCCCAGAACCACTTGTTAAGGAGATTGTCTTTTCTCCATTGCATATTTTTGCCTCCTTTGTCAAAAATAAGGTGTCCATAGATGCGTGGACTTATCTCTGGGCTTTCTATTTTGTTCCATTGATCTATATTTCTGTCTTTGTGCCAGTACCATACTGTCTTGATGACTGTAGCTTTGTAGTATAGTCTGAAGTCAGGCAGGTTGATTCCTTCAGTTCCATTCTTCTTTCCACGTAAGTATATAAGTAGGAAAGCAATTGTGTCTGAGGCATTATATATATGTATATATGTATATATATGTATATATATATACATATATATATGTATGTATATCTAATTCAGCCTAATACAAGTGTTGTTCCATATATGTAGTTATTGGTAGTCCCTGGAGTTTGTGGACAGGCAACTGAGCTTAGAAATAGTGTCTGGGCATCTGAGAGGTTCCTGGGGGTCTATTTTCTCCATGGTGTTACCAGCACAAGTATGTAGACTTACAAAGACAGCTATTTTGACCTTTTTCCTAGGCTCAGTACAGCCAAGTCCTCTTGGGTGGTTGAGACCTGTACAGCATGGAGGACAAGGAGGCCTGGAATGGACATCACCCCAGTGGTTCTTAAAAAGTCTTAAGTAATCCATCATTGAGCACCCATTCCTTTACTATTCTCCTCCCTCAGAAGCTCCTGTACAACAGAGGGAGGGAAGGAGTAGGGAGGAACATTGGCTGGGAAGTCAAGTAGATTAGGTCCTAGTCTCAGCCTATTAACAACTCTCTGAAGCTTCCTTTCCCTCCATGGGCTTCAGTGTCTTCAAACCCAGAAGGAAATTAGTGCGAAGCCTCAGCACTGAGATTCAGAGAGCACCCCAATCCTACCCCTTATCCCTGATTATCTGTGTCTCTCTGTGTTCCAAGCAGAAGTCATAGCTGCTAAACTAGAGGGTCTGAGAAACCTTATTTGAATTCATGGTGTATATTCTGAGGACCAGTACATTAGCACCACCTGGGAGCTCATTAGAAATACATACTCTCGGGGCCCACCACAGAACTACTGAGTCAGAGTCTGCAATTTGATCCCAAGGGGACCCCTCTGTGCCTTCACGTCTCAGATGTACTGCTCTAGAGGCCTGGGGGTAAAGACTAATGTCAGCTTGAAAATAAAGAATGGGATTTGCAGTTAGGAGACCTAGGCTCTACTTTGAGTTCTGCCCTTTACTTGCTCTACACAATTCACCAAAATATGTAACCACCCTCATCCTTATTCTTAAATGAGGTTGCTCTCATAACCACTGAATGGAGTACAGGTTAATGGTACATATTCTGGAGCCAAACTGCTTAATCTTAATTCTTTATTTCATTTACTAGCTGTGAAGCTTTCAGTAAGTCACTTGACACACACATCCTTCCGTTTCCTTATCTGGAAAGTATAGTATAATAACAAGGGATTCTAGTAATAATTTTAAGTTAGAAGTGAATATAAATAACATAGGACAGTGCCTGGCACAGCCTAAGTCCACAGCACATATTATTACACACTGGCCTTTTATAACCTCTTTTAAGAATACAAAGAGACCTTATCCCCTATGGGATTTGCATGGTGTACACCCTTCTCAACTGAAGGACACAATCACCTAAAGACTGAGGTTCTATCCTCTAGGCCATCAGACATCCATGAGATTGGATTCATGCTATTATTTTGGAGCCATCAACCAGTCCCCTGGGGTCGATTCCCATCTTGTCTATTCCAGCTCCACTCACTCCACACACTTTCCTGCCTGCAGGAAATCTGTGGGAGTAGCAGCTCAGAGAGCTATGCAGTCCACCCAGGAGATGAACACTTGAACTGGCCTTCCCTTTTCCTACAGAAACTCAATGCAGTTCAAAGAGCAGAATGTCATTAAGGCATTGCTCAACAGACCTGTCACCATAGTCATTGCAGGGAAGACTTCCAGGAAGAGGGAGGTACCAGGGACCTTCAGCAGAACCCTACAGCTTAGCAAGAAAACTGCTGAGCTGAAAACCTCAGCTGCCACTAGGCAAACCTAGATAGTGTATTAAAAAGCAGAGACATTACTTTGCTGACAAAGGTCCGTATAGCCAAAGCTATGATTTTTCCAGTAGTCATGTATGGATATGATAGTTGGACTATAAAGAAAGCTGAGTGCCAAAGAATTGATGCTTTTGAACTGTGGTGTTGGAGAAGACTCTTGAGAGTCCCTTGGACTGCAAGGAGATCCAACTAGTCCATCCTAAAGGAAATCAGTCCTGAATATTCATTGGAAGGACTGATGCTGAAGCTGAAACTCCAATACTTTGGCCACCTGATGTGAAGAACTAATTGGAAAAGACCCTGATGCTGAGAAAGACAGAAGGCAGAAGTAGGAGGGGATGACAGAGGACGATATGTTTGGATGGCACCACCGACTCAACGGACATGAGTTTTAACAAGCTCCAGTAAATGGTAAAGGACAGGGAAGCCTGGTGTGCTGCAGTCCATGGGATCTCAAAGAGTCGGACACAACTGAGCGACTGAACAACAATAGCTGCTGCCCAATGCACATCCTCAGGACCTCTGCTCCTCAGAGGTGGGTCAATCCCAGCCTTGCTCTCTGAGTGCTGTTCCTTAGGTTGGCCATCTCCTCACAAACACCAAGCAGATGTACTGCTGAGGGCACAGTCAGACTGAGTTCACAAGCCCCACCCACTGGGATGGTTGTAACAACCAACCTAGGAATCTACAGCAACAATGTGTGCAGGATCCCCAAGGCTTGATGATTCCCTAGTATGACTCAAGACTTGGAAACACCATTATGACTTCTCAGAGTCTGGGAGTATTACTGAGCTGTTATATACATAGTTGATTTATGACAGTTAAAGTAAAATCAGCAAAGGGAAAGGCACAGGGGTGAAGTCCAACGGAAATCAGTTGTGAGATCCAGTTGTTCTCTCCCAAAGGAGTCCCATGGACAACACTTAATTCTCCCAGAAATGATCTGTGACAATGCATGCAGTGTCACCAGTCAGTCACCAGTCAGAACTAGAGGTCCAGAGATTGTACTGGAGGTCAGGCATGCAGCTTCCATGTGACCACTTCAGCTACTCAGTCTACAGCCCCCAAATGTCAAATGAACACAGCATGGCCCAGGGCCTCAGACATACAAAACAGATGCTCACCATAAATCACACTGTTAGCAGGAGCCACCTGGTCAGATGAAACAGAGAGGACAGGAATACAGAAATACCTTACTAGGCAGAACATGCCAGGGTCTTTGGGGTAGCTTCCCAGGAGTGGACAAGGACCAGTCTTCATCAGACAGGCTTTTCTTTGGAATATTTTAGTAACTGGGACCTTCTGGAGTTACCATTTACAATGAATTCTAACTTATTAATAATTACAGACTTAATTGCCATGTAGAAATGTTTTCAGTTGGGTATGAGCGGTGATCCTGGGCAAGGGTGGTGGGAAAGTGAAAGTCCACAGTGCAGGAAGGAGCAATAATGGGGACTAGCATGCTCCCTAGTGCTGGGGAGAGGACAAAAAATGCTGCTACCAATTGCCAGGTGCTTTCTGTGGGCAAAGTCCTGGGCTTGGAGTTCTAGAGATGTTCCTTCAATTATGAGAACTATTTGGATGGGTGGTCCTTAGCTATGATGTAAATGAGGCTCAAAGCGCCAGTAAGTTGTGGAGCCAAACCTTCTCTTCTATGGACAGAATTATCCCAACAGCTGGGCAGAGTGTGGGCTAGAAGAACACCTTGGCATGTTTCCTGGATCCTGGATGCCCAAGTCACACTAGGAAAAGCTGGCACTGCATGAACAACCACCACACGTCCTTCACCAGCCCCTTCTTTCTGTGTGAGCACTCATTCCTGCCAAGACAGGATACGGGGAGAGTCTGACTAGAACAAAAGACCAGGTCTTTCTGCAACTAGGTCTTTCTCTACTGTCCTCGGGACACTATCACACTAACTCTATTAAATTTCTCCTGTCTCTTGACAGTGTTGTCAGAAAAGGTTATCAGGTCACTTCTTCTGGAAATAGGTTAGGATCCCCAAATCTGGTCATCATTTACAAATGCACAAAGAATTCACGGGGCCGGGGGTCCCCACTCACATGACTGACAGTAAACAGACTCTTCTCCTAGGACTTCTACACAAGACTGGGACAGAGTCACTTCCCAGGAGACCTCCAGGTTGTAGATTAAGGCTATGATTCATCCAACTACCCTGGGAGTATCAATTAACTCATAGGGGGAAAGGGAAAAAGAGGGAGAAAGCAATGTGTTCACATGGAAGAATAAATAAAAGTATGCTGGATTCCATGACTGCTTTCTTCACTTGTATCTCTCAACAGTGCCTGGAAGATATTGGCTGTAGCACAGGAGTGGGCGTCCTGAGCCCAGATTCTGCCCTGCCCAGACCAAGTTCTGCTTGCAACCAGGGAAGTGTCACAGGCACACAGCACATACTTAGCCTCTCTCTCCAAGACCCTGACAAGAAACAGAAAGCTTTCCTGAAGAGCACTACAGGACTTTTTAGCAGACCACGTTGCCACAGGCTGGCATCATCAGAGAAAGTTCTCCCCTACTTTACGCTGTATTTTCAAAATGGGCAAAGCCCAGGTTCTCCAAAGATCCCCAAGTTCCAAGAAACCAGAACTCCTCGATTTATTTCAGAACAATTAGGCATCATGGTTTCTTCATTCGTGCATTCTGCCGGCCCAGCAACCTGGCTCCCATCCGCTGCTCCAGGCGGCTTCCCGAACTGTGCCTGACCTCTGCTCTCTGATCTCTGACCTGACACCAGAGCCCGGCTCCAACCGGCCCGCCCCGCCTCCAAGATGGCCGCACCAGTGTAGGTTGTAGTTATCACGGAGGCAGTAGCCACCACTACCGTTTTCTTATTCTGATGATCTAGAGAAAGAGGAGAGCGTGGCTTTGCGGGATGGAGGGATGGGAACTCCCCAGGGAGCACAGCCACAAAGAGGCCCGGCGGCGCAAGAGGACGAGGAGAGCGGGCCTCGGGGGCAGCGGACCCGGCTCCGCTACGACAGTCTGCGCGGGCCTACTTGCCTCCCGCCGCCCGAGACGCCCCGCCCCCCAGCCTTTCGTACGACTCGTCGCGGAAAATGGTCGCACTACCTTGTCGCTCCTTCTAACCTCAGAGGGACGTCAGAACCAGCGTCCCTGAAAGGCGCCAGGTTGCCCATTGGCTGTCTTGCCATTCCCCCCAGCCCCCTCACCTCCCTCCTGCGCGTGCGCAGCACTTGGGCTCCCAGGGCAACGGGGAGCCGAAGTGTTCTGCTCACCCCGAGGGCGGTGCGAATTGGTGCTGGCTGTTTTACGCCCACAGACTTCGGGTTCCTGGTAGTTTAGTAGGGGGAGGCGAAGTTGGGGGCGGGCTGGATGGGGAGGTCGGAGGAGCAGTGGGCCGTGGGTAATGAGCTCTCAACCCCTGGGGTGTTGAGTGACAGGGCCGTGGGGCGGAGAGGGGACTACGGAGTTAACGAGTCAATGGTTCATTAATTGATTCCTTTAGCAACTGTTTACTTGGTGGTGGTTTAGTCGCTAAGTCCTGTCCGACTCTTGTGACCCCATGGACTGTAGCCAGCCTCTGTCTGTGGCAGTTTTCAGGAAAGAATACTGGAGTGGATTGTCATTTCCTTATCCAGGGGAATCTTCCTGGCCCAACTGTTTCCTTAGTGCATAGTGAATACCAGACACCATTGTTTCACGTTAGTCATCACAATAGCCCCATGAGTAGGTACTACGATTCTCTTCATTTTACAGAAAGAAAGCAAGAACAGAAAGGCTCGGACACTTGACCAAAGTCACACAGTAAACTAGGGGGATCCTTTTTCTTTTTTTCAGCACACTATTTATGCATTTCTAACTAATATACCCTGAATTTATCAACTTTATTGCTTGTTGTCTCTCCCCTGCTATGAATATGGCTCCTCAAGATGGGGGAACTCTGTTCATGTAGAATGGGCAAAGTAGGCACTCACCTCTGTTATTAACTGAAGAAAAGCAGTAGAGCAGGTGGTCAGTTTCGTTCCAGAACCCAGACTCTTAGGAAGTAAGGCAGTGCTTAGCTCTTTATCTAATGGTGGTGGTAACTGAGCTTACTAAATGTCAATTCTTAAAACTAGAGGGAGGCACTGTGCCTTCTAATGTCAAGGGAAACATTTGGATTTTCCTCAACTTCACTCCATCATAGACGTTGCTAACTGCATCTCCTGTGTGGTCATTCCCTTTCCAGGGTCAGGGTTCATAACGGCCAACAGCTCACAGCTTCAGATGCCGGCTGATCTACCATGGGCTTCCTTAGTTAGTCTACAGAAGACCCAGTCTGAGACCTCAGAAGGAGGTGAGTTTTCCTGGTCAGAGGTAGAGACATGGTCCTGAAGGGAAGGTCCTAGCAAAGGTATCTTTCTTTGTCTTTGAATCCTTGGGTCCTGCCTCCTTAGTAATGACAGCTCATTTAGAAATTCCCTGGTGGTCCAGTGGTTAGGACTCCATGCTTTCACTGCTGAGGGTCCAGGGTTCAATCCTTAGTAAGGGAACTAAGATCCCACAAGCTGAGCAGCCAGACCAAAAAAAGAAAACCCCTAAAACCCAAAAAGACAGCTTCTCCGTGGGGAGTTGGAAGAAAAGCACCAGCCCAGACCTCAGGGCAGAGTGGGGAGACCCACAAAACAGACTCAGATGCTCTGGTTAGAGGGAAGTGGCTCACAGGATAGCAGGTTCTAAAAGAACTGAACCTGCATTGCCCTCTGTCCCTTCCTTCAGCTGAGAGAGAGAAAGACTTCTAGCCACCATCAAGTGCTGTGTCATGGTGGTCAGTTGAACCCCTATTGCAGGAGAGAGATAAAAGTTATGGATGGATGGAGGGATGCTGCCCTGTGGTAGTGCTAGCAAGGACATGGTCAGGCTGGAAAGATTGATTCCCTACCTCCCAGGACTTTCTCCACTCTTAACACATTTGTGCACACACATTTGTGCTCCCCTCTTGTGCTGTGAGCTACTTCAGTCAGTCCCATAGTATGAACAGCCCACTTGCCTGTAGCAGAAATGTTGAATCTCCTCTACCTTGACTAAATGACCAGAGAGATGTTTTTGGTTTTTGCATGTCTGTGAAATCTCAGAGTATTCTCTAGGTAGCCATCACCTAGCTATGCTACCCCATTTTCATGCTAGTAACTGGGTCTGGAAGCATGACTCACTAAGCTTCATCTTGCTGAACCCTATTGCCCTGATACTAAGGCAGGGATTGCTAGAGTGGCAGTGGTTAACAAAAGCTCATTGCTGAAAATTTGTTTTGAAAACTGCCAAATAAGGAAGAGCTTGGCAATCAAATGGCCATGATGGGAAATAAGGAAGAATTAGGGAGGGAACAGGGAGGTGGTGGGCCAGAAGGACCAGGGTCGGGGGGAGCAAAGTCAATGGTTTGCAGTTCCATGTGGACCTGACCAATGCCAGGCCCTTAATCTCCCTCCATCCCCCTACCTTCCGCCCTCCACCCCTTTCCCTTCCGCCCTGCACTCAGCCCTGGTTAGTCTCCTTCCTCCAAACCGCAGCAAGTTGTCCCTGTCTCCAGACTTTGCTCAGGGTGTGTCACCTCAAGGGCTCATTGTGATAATTAGGTGGTTTGTAATAATTTCTCCTTTTTATTTTACTAGTAATTAATATTGTCAAAAGTGATAAAATGCAAGTAAACAAAAAAGGAAAGGTGAAATCAACCCTCAAAGGTAAGCAGGGTCAACGTTTTAATAGATGTTCTTCTTCAGTACATGCATATAGCTTAACAAAGGAGATCCCACCCACTTGCTTTTTGATAACCTGCTTTTAAATATGTTAAGATATGAGAACAGGATTCCATTGCATTTTTAAAGCCCATGTGGTATTTCCCATTTTGTGTATCTTATTTTTTTTAAACTTGAGCCACCTTTACTGGAAGTTTAGTTGCTTCCAGATTGTTGAATGGTGGAAACACCTACAGTTAACATCTTTGCAAATAAATTATGATAAATTCCCAGGCATAGAATTTTTGAGAGAAAGGAAATATCAGGTTGTTAATGGCTTCTGAGTAGAAGTCTTTAAACACAGTCATAGGGAGAGAAAATCAGTTTCCATGGGATTGTGCAAAACCCATGGGATCTTAGCCAAAGGAACAGCCTGGAGCTACCAGGCCTTGTGTCCTGATCATCCTCACTATGGGGCGGGGTGATTGTTATTAGGCTGGCGATGGTGGTCTCAGGGCTGTGTGCACTGACCTCAACCCTCCTGATTCTGCCTTCCTAGATCTCCATCCTTAGTCTGGGCAGAACCAGATGGCCATGTCCCAGGTGAGTTCCTAATTTACCCCTACTTTGTTTCCAGTTAATTTAAGGTAGCAATTAGGAAATTATATTGCAACCTTGAAAAAATATATGTTAGTTCCCTCAGCTCTGGCTGTTTTCTGCTCAACCTGTCATCCACCTCAGGTTTCTCTAATCCTTCCTCTTTTCACCAAAAAGGCAAAAAAAAAAAAAAAAAGAACGATGTAGAAAGGAAAAGACATTTTTGTCTACTTCTTACTCTTGGAACTGCACTTCATATTTTTGCCTTCTCAAAGAAAATTGTTTAAATGCATAAACTTATCTTGCTTTTTCTATTCACTTTCACTTTCAGTGCACTTTTTGCCTTTTCATTATGTTTAAAATTGTGAAAGTAAATCCACATCTCATGTTATAATATGCATAAAATAAACAGTATCCAAAAGATCCCTATTTCTTCTTCTCCCAGTACCACATTCTTCCTCAGAGATGCCCACTGTTAGCAGTTTGGTGATAAGGTGCTGTAGATGCATTTACTTCAGTTTAATTAACTAAAAATAGAGGTACATGTTGGAGAAGGAAATGGTAACCCACTCCAGTACTCGTGCCTGGAAAATCCCATGGATGGAGGAGCCTGGTAGGCTACAGTCCATGGGGTCTCAAAGAGTCCAACAGGACTGGGTGACTTCACCATCACTTTTCACTTTCATGCATTGGAGAAGGAAATGGCAACCCACTCCAGTGTTCTTGCCTAGAGAATCCCAGGGACGGGGGAGCCTGGTGGGCTGCCTTCTATGGGGTCGCACAGAGTCAGACACGACTGAAGCGACTTAGCAGCAGCAGCAGCAGAGTTACATGTAATGTGTGTTTTTTCTCAAATGCCATCACACCCCCATACCCATCTTGCTTTTCCCACTTGATTATATTATGAGTGGTATTCCCCATTAGTACATAGAAACTGTTTCAGTTCCTCTTTCGTAGTATGGATGTCTCATTTAACTATTTCTCTTTTCATGAATATTTGGTTTTTTTGTTTTATTTTTCTATTGTAAACAGTGCCTCATGAACTGCTTTCTATGTATCTGTTGGCCCATTAGTACATGTATTTATGGAGAGTACACCTGGAAGAATTTTTGAACCAAAGGTATTCACACCTTAAATTTGCTTTCCCAAATCCTGGACTGATTGGTACTTTCACAGAATTTTAAATACCAGATAATTTCTGTGTTCAACTCATCCAGGCTGTTGCTGAAAGATTAGAAGGAATCCACTTCATGCTATGATGCCATCTAAATTCGAGGAAGATACTACAGAAAAGTAAACAGCGAAAGACCACTTTTATTTAAGCATATGGATGCGGAAATTCTAAAAATGTGTTCTGAATAGAGCATTAATAAATTGAATTAAGCATTTTTTAAGAAGTACTCTGTACCTATGGTAAAACATTCAAACAAACACTTTGTTCAACAAAAGGTGAAAAATAATTTTCCTTCTCACCCTGTTTCCGTATCTCCTTCATATTTCATGCATGCTGCCAGAAATCATGTGTGCATATTTATTTGTCTCGATGGAAGAATCCCATTTCCTTTTATTTTCTTCCTTTTCACGTATTACAGCACATTCTAGTTCTTTCTTTGTCCATTCCATTTCACTGTGTGTTTGATCAACCTTAACTTTTCTCACCTCAGCACTCTTGACCTTTGGGTCAGATAATGCTATGTTGTGGAGGGGTGCCATGTGCATTGGAGGATATTTAGCAACATCTCTGGCCTCTGGGTAGAGGGATACCAGCGCCCTGCCCCCCAACCCCCCCTTGTTGTGACAGTGGGCTAAGGAGAAGTGTATTGTTACAGGAAACATTGACCTTCAGGGACGTGTTTGTGGACTTCACCCAGGAGGAGTGGCAGCAGCTGGACGCTGCTCAGAAGAACCTCCACAGGGATGTCATGCTGGAGAACTACAGCCACCTGGTCTCCGTTGGTGAGGGACCCTCCACAGGGTGACTGGAACACACCCCCTTGTGTTTCCCTATCTGGGCTGCTGCAGCTCAGGGGTATCTAGCCCTGAATGAGTCAGGCCTCAGGCTCCCGGTCAGGAATTCCTAATGGCGTTTGCCCCCTGCCCAGGATGGTCATTATCTCGCCTTCTCTGTGGATGGTCTGCACTGAGGGCCCACTGGCTAGGCTCACAGGGCAGTCACCAAAGCCAGACCATCCCCGTCCTGCAAGGATGGGCCTTGGTTCTGGGATGCTGCAGATGTTCATAACCAAGTCCTCTGTCATTTCCTCTCAACAGGATACCTTGTGGCCCAGCCACATGGGATCTTCAGGTTGGGACAAGGAGAAGAGGAGGCTGGGATGGCAGCTGGAGAAAGCCTGATGTGGAGCTGTCCAGGTGAGTCCATGCCAGGCCAGCTGGGCCGGGCAAGGGGACCTTCACGGTTCAGGGAGATCTTGGCCTCAGCAGCACACCCAGGAACTTATCTCAGAAACCCCAGGCTTGGGGACACAACTCAGGGCTGATGGAACAGGCTGCTGTGATAGCTACATGATGCCCCACCTGCCACCCCTCCACAGCCCCTTATTCTTGGGGTTCAGACAGAGGCGGCTGCTATTGTTCTCTAGATCCTGTCCCCACCTTCTAGCATCTCCAGTATATGGAGATGTGCCTAGGTTTGTCTCTTTCCTCTTCTCCTCCTTTCTGAAAGCTGTTAAACCTTCTCTCTTGGGTATTCACATGTTCATCAGAAGCCAAACCGATGGAAGGATGAAGTTTCTTCTTTATTTGGCATATTGTGGGCCCTCAAAAGTCTGAAATGCAGTGTCTTTAACCTCAGGGAAATTATCCTCAGGAAATTATTGATTTATTGGAGTTGGGATGGACAAGAGGGCTTTGCTTAGTAACCTTCAGCTCTACCAGGCCAGGTACCACCGTGTCCTTGTCTGCTCTCACTTTGAGGCTAAACAGTGTCAACTTCACACAGGTTTCTGTTTGCTCATTTCTCTCAGACCATTCCAAATCTGACTTGATTCCACCTGTTGTCAGATTCCTCCTCTTATCAATACTTCCCTCCCACTCAACTCTTTTGTCTTTTGTACTACCTCTATTTATTAAAATAAATAAACCAGAGAGCATATTACTTCCACAGCAGCATACTTCAGTGAGCACTGTCTGCTTTCCTGTTTGTTTGTTTGTTTTTGCTCAGGGTCTCTTATGGTGACCGAGGAAGTCTCAAGACATTAGTCTTTGTCTTTTTCTCTCCTGCTCTTAGTGGCTACTCAGCGGCCCCTCCCGAAGAAGTCTGTCTAGATCACTGTTACCCTTCACTGCGCTCCATGGACCAGCAGCCTGGGCATGGCCTGGGCTCAGAGTAGAAGTGCAGATTTGGGATCCACTTCAGTTTTACTGAATCTGCATCTGCTTTTCAACAGCTGTTCAGAGATTAGTTTCATGACTGCAGCTGTAGTCAGACGGGCAGCTGATTCCAGATGACTCTCTAGATGGCTTCCCCAGAGCCCAGTCCTGCCTGGCAGGTGCACCCTCTCACTCAGAGCCTTCCTGAACCTTCTCCCAGGGACATTTTGGCCTACAATTTACTCTTTATCAATCAATTCTATATCTGCTGCTCCATAGAGATTCATCAGGGTTTCTGGTCTGCTGATGGCCTGCTTTTTCCTGCTTCCAGTGTTTCCAGGAATTGAGTCTCATTCTTATTTCAATATTAATTGTGGGAGGAGGAAGCACAGACTCAAAGGCAGCTTCCACCCTTTGAAGTCACATTTCCTATGTTGAGTCTGAGTGTGCAGAACAGTCTGAGATATGAAGTAATCTCAGTGTGTTCCCAGTCACACCTCCAAGGGCAGCTTCTTTTCAAGGTTTCTAATTCCTCTGATGAGCATCTCTAAAGGTCCAGGGAATACCTTCACATCTGCATTTCTCAGTTCTCTTTCCCTCCTATGAAAAATAAGGATTTAGTTCAATTAACCTTGATCTTCTGCTCTGTAGCGCTTCACAATGTTCGTTAAATTTTTATTTTTCCTTTCTTTGTTGGCTATCCTTGTAACTTTCAACAACATAGCTAAGCTTCTGTTTTTGCATTCCAGTTGGTAACTTTCTTTAAATCATAGCCAAATGCCTATGGCTTAATTTTCTACCTGGAACACAAACCCCTAGAGGCAAGGGTCCACATCTTGTTTTCATTCATCCAGGTGTTGGGCTGTAGAGGCACTAAGTAAGTATTGCTTTGATAGTTTTGGACTGGGGCAGAGGAAGGAGGTTTGTTATTCTTCCATAGCCCAGTGGTGAAGAGCTGGGACTTCGGAGCTCACAGCCTAGATTCAGATTCTAGTTTTTTCACTCACAAGCTGTCACTTTGTACACATGACTTAGCCGTTCTTTGCCTGTTTGTAGAATGGGGCTAAATGCTAGAACTTAAAGGACTGACAGAATTTAATGAGTTGATAAATGTCAAGCACCAAAAAAAGTGCCTTGGAATAAAGGAAGTTCTCAATATATGTTATCACTCTTTGTATTGTTGTTATTAGCCATATAGAATATTTGTTTAATGTAGTGGTTGTCAACCAGAGGTGTATCACCTGTGGAGGCCTAGTTATGTGCATTGTAACATTCCAGATAGTTCTGATATCCATGCCTAGTTCAGATTCATTGCTTTAAATGTCTGCTAACAGAGGTTCAAAGGACTGTGAGACTTAGCAAGGCCATCACCCAGGAGCATGGGTCAGTCAGATGGGATAGTAAATAAGAGCACACAGCCTCACTACTGGTTAGCTTGGTTCTCTTCCTCCATTCCTCCATTCTTCAAACTGCTTGAGGGCTTATATTCTCCTCTGGGCCCTGGATGAAATCTCTGACAAATCTCATAAATTTTCGGATTGTTCTGAGCTAATAAACATCTTCTGTCAAGATCCACATATCAAGAGTAGCCTTGCTGTCATATTTATTATTTTCAATTTGTTGAGCTTTTCACAGAAAGAACTTTTACCTTTGTTAATTTTCTTTATTGTGTTTTCCATTTTGTTGATTTCTCTTTTTACATTTATTTCCATTTCTAATTCTTTGGGTTTACTTTGTTGTTCTGTATCAGCGTCTTTTTCCCTTCAACATTTTATTATAAAATTTTTCAGACAAAACAAGCAAAATAATTATAGTTTGAATATCCATGTAATATCATTTAGATTCTACAATGAATGTTTTCCTATATTTGCTTTATTGCCTATCTGTGTGCTAATTCCTCTCTTCCATCAATCTCCCTTTTTTTGTGTGTGTGGAATGCATTTCAAAGTAAGTTGTGGATATCAGTACACTTCACACCTAAATGCTCCCACAGGCATATCATTAACTAGAATTAAATATTTCTTGGTATTTTTTCTATCCTTAATGCTTAACAGGTGTTTTCATAAAAGGAAATGCAAAACTAGCACAATATGATAGTGGATTGTATGTGGTAATGGTTTAATGTAATTTCCAGATGCATTTTCCATGTATTGTCATGATATACGTAACTGCAGTCTCTTCTTGAAAATGAAGTTTGGGTTATTGAGGTATAATTTATATACCATGAAGTTCACCTCTCAAGTGTACAGTTCTATATATATTGACAAATATATAGTCATTTAAATACCATCACAGTCAAGCTATTGGACATTTTCATTCCTCTAAAACATTCCCTTGTTCCTCTTTACAATTAAACTTCTCCCCTACTCTCACATCCAATCTTGTTTCTTCTTCTAGTTTTGTTTTTTTCTAGAATGTTATATAAATGAATCTCATAGTATATAGCCTTACACATCTTGCTTCTTTCATTTACCTTAATGCTTTTTAGGTTCATCCGTGTTGTGACATGTTTCAACAGTCTGTTCCTTTCTGTAGTCAAATGATACTCCATTTGCTTACCATAGGCCAAGGTATGCACTTTTGAATTTTTTCTTTTTTTTGGTTATTATGAAAGAAGCTGACATGAACACACTCGTGTTTAGGCATTTGTGTGGGCGTATGTTTTCATATTTCTGGGGTAAATATCTAGAGTGGGATTGCTTGGTCATGTGGTAAGTGTATGTTTAACTTCACAAGACACTACCAAACTGTTTTACAGTGTAACTGTACCATTTTGTATGCCTACCAGCAACATATAAGAGTTCCAGTGTTTTGCTTTCTTGCCAGCACTTGGTATTATTAGTATTGTTAGTCTTTCTAGATACTGTATGAGAGTAACTCATTGTGCTACTAATTTGCATTTCTCCAATAACTGATATTCAGCATCTTTTCATGTTCTTTTGTTTGCCATCTATATATCGTTGGTGAACTATTTCCTGTAATCTTTTGCCATTTTTGTTATTATTAAATTGTGAGAGTTCTTTATATATTCTGGATGCAAGCCCTTTATCACTATGTGTTTTCCAAGTCTTTACTCCCATGCTGTGGCTTGTTTTTATCTTAACAGTGTCTTTGCTAAAAAAGACATTTTTAATTTTGATAAAGTCCAATTTATCAAATTGTTCTTCTACAGTTCATGCTGTTATACCCTATATAACAATTCTCTAACACAAGGTAACAGAGATTTTCTCATATTTTTATTTGAGAGGATTTAAAATGTTAGCTCTTACATTTATCAGGCTTCCCTGATAGCTCAGTTGGTAAAGAATCCACCTGCAATGCAGGAGACGCCAGTTTGATTCCTGGGTCAGGAAGATCTGCTGGAAAAGGGATAGGCTACCCACTCCAGTATTCTTGGGCTTCCCTTGTCGCTCAGTTGGTAAAGAATCTGCCTGCAATGCAGGAGACCTGGGTTTGATCCCTGGGTTGGGAAGATCCCCTGGAGAAGGGAAAGGCTACCCACTCCAGTATTCTGGGCTAGAGAATTCCATGGGCTGTATAGTCCATGGGGTTGCAAAGAGTTGGACATGGCTGAGTGACTTTCACTTTCACTTATATTTAGGCCCATGGCCAATAATGAGATGAATATTTTTACCTGGTATGAGTTAAGGGTCATTGTTTTCCTTTTTTTGCATATGCATATTTAATTGTTCAAGCAGCATTTTTTAGAAGACTATCTCTTCTCCATTGACTTACCTTGGTAACCTTATCAAAAACAGTTGAGCACATATGCATTGATCTGTCTGCCAATACGGCACTCTCTTAATTACTGTAGCCTACATGTTCACATCAGGTACAGTGAATCTTCCACCTTTGTTCTTTTCATAATGCTTTGGTCCTTGATATTTTCATATAAATTTTAAAATCAGCTTGCCAATATCTGTATGAAAGCCTACAGGGATTTTATTTGGAATTACATTGAGTCTGTGGATCATTGAAATACTAAGAATATTGAGTCTTCCAATTCACAATGTATCACAATGTACACAATTCAGTGTATC